TCATGTAGGGAGTGAGTTCCTTCTTAATATGTTGTAACCGTTCTTGGCTAACATATTCTCTGAGTTTCCTTTGAAAATAGGCAACTCTTGTAATTGCACCAGAGAAGTGAATACAATCAGCTTGTTTTTGTAAAATCATCATACATAGCGGTTTGGTAATCAATTTCAATTTCTCATTAATTTCCTCTTCAATTGCCTTCAAAGATGGTGGTAACTCATCAGAATCATAATAATTTTCAAATAAATCTTTCATAATGGCATTTGCATCCATTCCCTTACTGTGTAATAGTTGATGAATGATTGACATTCCACAAGTTTCTCCATTCTTAAATGTTACCATATATTCACCCTGTATTAATTCCATTACAACAACATCCAAAGTGAGATGACCCAAATCAACAAACATGGTCGATAATCTTTGTTGATTATTAGCAAAATATTGTAATAATGCATACTCTTCCATAATATAAATATCTTCAATGGTAATTGGATGATCATCACCAATATTAATTTTTAACTTATTATAGGCATGATAAATGCAATTTCTAAATATTAATTTAGTATATTCAGAGGTACCTGTTGGACATGTAAATATCCAAGCTGTAACTCCCTCTAAATAAGCTTGATCATCCTTTTTAGTGGTCAATAATTGAGTAATTAAATCCTTAATCATCAAGTAAATAACATTGGAAACTCTTAATTTCTTCTTTGAATTGAGACTAATTTCTAACAATTCACTGACCATGAATATCTTTTTTACATTTTCCAATTCTTCCCATTTCTCACCTTTCAATTCACTTCCCATTTGAATTTCACCTGTAATTGAATTGTAAAATGTACGTGTTGGTAGAAATTGACTCTTTTCTCGATGACCAAATTTTAAAACAGATGCTCTCACCCTTTTACCTTGTTCAATTTGAAACTTGTTACCTTTTGTAAAACTAGAACCCAAATCAATACAATAAATTTTCATAGCATGTCCCTTTTCCTTAGGTAGATATTTGGAAATGTTAAAAGTTGATTGTAAATGATGTTGTTCAATCATTTCCAATCCAAGGTCATCAGAGGTTTCATCTCCATTGCTTAAAGGAGTTCTAATGAGCTCATATTTGGCATCGGCAGTGGAAATATTTTCATGATTTGTGATGGATAATTCAGGATCATCGTCATGAACAACGATTGGTTCTTCACTGATGGGATTATCGGAAGGAGCTTGTGGTTGAGCTTTTAATTTCTCAGTTTTTACTTTTTTAGTGGCAGGTGTGGAGGAGGAGGAGGGTTGAGAAGAAGTTTCTTTGCGTTTAGTTTGTTTCTTGCGTTTTGGCATTTTGATTTTTTTTAAATTGTTTTTTTTTTCAAAAATTGTGAAATGTTGTTACAACTACAAGAAAATCGTTAGTCCAGAAAGAAGTACTGCTGGCTGGAGGTGAAATTTCGTTTCTTTTGAATTGGTTTGGATATTTCGGATAGTAAAATAATATATTCTCTAGATTATTAATCTAGAGACTGTCCGAAAAACTGACTGGCAATGTGTTTTAATAATGATGGAATGTTTAGATTACCGATCCTTTTGCTTCACTTGTCGTTGAACAAAACCTCTGAAAATCCATAAATACAGACTAAATATCCATTCAAACCTGCTGTATATACGGATTATATGGTGTTATCAAAGTAATCTCTCGTAAATATTGTTTTAAAAGGAGGTAATTTTCAAGCCAAAATTTTTTAACAAAAGCTAATTTTTGTACAAGACCTAATCACGGTTCAAATCTTGACACAATAATAAACAGCCTTTGATCTCTTCTCTTGAAAGTATGTTGGATTGAATGTCTCTGATCCAACGATAAAGGATGGAGTTTTCCCTCCACTGTTACTAGGTTTCACACTAACAATTTTACCATCTATTTTCTCAATATTTTCAATAACTTTCATTCTCCAAAATCCCTCATTATGCCATTGCCATGAAAATCCATTAACTCGAATAGCAAATTTCATTGAAAGTTCATTATTCTGAAGGTGAAACTGGTGAAAGAAAGACTGATACTCTCGTTCCAATTCAATTAGGTTTTAATGATACAGTGGAAACTGAACAAAAAGAAACTGGTGAATTTGAAATTACATGGTTTAAAACTGGCCACTTAAAGGTAACACAAAATCATTCCTCAATTTATAAATTTAAAGTATTGAATAAAATTTATGTTGTGGTTTGAAATGTTGATACTCATTTGTACTGAAATTAAACATCTGATTTGTGTGACGAACTAGATAATTTTGTGTCAATGGAAACATAAAACTAAAAATTCATATCACACAGTGCGAATACTACTGACATTTACAAGTAAATATAATAATTTTAATTTTAATGATAATTGAGGGTATCATCTTTCTTATTTGAAGAGATTTTGGAAGAATGTAGTCACTAAATGTTCATTATTGAACGAGGAAGCATCATTACATGATATCAAATGAGGATACAATTTAATAGATTCCATACTGGCACCGCCACCACTCATTGATGTAACAGTTTAATAACTACTACTACCATTATTAGTACTACTACTACTATTACTATTAGTACAACTCGCTTCTTGTTGATTGTTTTCATTGTTGTGCAGCTGCTGAAAATGATTAGTATTGATTACATGGAGGAGAGATGACGACATTTTTCTTCTTGTATAAATGAAATGTTTCATCATTGCTTCTCATTAGTAGGACACAGCATGCTTGTTATGTAATTTTATATGAAATGAAGGCTTAGAGATGTCATCGTTTGAGAGTTGAAAATTGAGTGATCATTACAGAATAATGCAAAATGCAATGAAAATGGAGAATGAATCGAATTTGATTAAAAATGGACTTTTTTAAATTCATACTATTGTGGACACCATTCGTTGACATCCATCCAATATTGGCGGGATGCAAATTATTGACATAGACATTGTAATTAAAAAATTGATAGATGTTTGAATAGAGTAATTGTATGTGACTATTTTAGAGAGAGTTGCCTTAAAGTAATTCCATCCTTCCTGTTTACTTTCCATTTAAATGTTAATAAGAAAGTGTCACACTGTGAAAGTGGATGTGTATTGATGGTTCATTTGTGAAATTGTTCAAAACAACAACTTGCAAATTAATTGAAACTCAATGTTATATTACTTCTTTGACATGAATCGTTCCAAATTGCTCTTTGGTCTATTTGTTGTTGTCTTGGATCGATTACTCATCTCTGATGATCGATATGATGATGTTGTGGGAAGGAGTGTACTTGCTTTAACAAATCCACTACCACCACCACTACCACTACCACTAGCGCCACTATTTGATAAATCAAAATTGTTGGAACTACTTGATTTGGAAGGTAATAGTGAACTCTTACTCTTACTGTAAGATCTCTTTTGTTTCTTTTCTTCTTGTTCTAATGCATCTAAAACATTATCAATACTATCTTCCATTCTTTTTCGTTTCAATT